CGAGCCACATGGGGCTCTTTGGCCCCTTGAGTGGCTCTTCCACAAAACACCACGTGCGGGCGCGCATATACAGTGCAATTGAAACTTCGTGGCCCATGCGCAGAAGTCGGTTTTCAACCTGGGCCAGTCTATTTTGAAGAAGTGGCGTTAGAAGAACTGGGGTTACCTTCGCTGAGGTCGACCCCTCAGATTGAGGATGGTTTTAGGAAAGGCCAGTTTAGGAATACCCTAATTAAGATAATAACAATGTACCTACCTATGTAGTTTAAGTTTAAAAAATTTGGCTCTCAAAAGAAATTTCAATCGTTGTACTGTTGATATTTGGCTCTGTTGACTAATGAGTTTGCCGACCACTGGTCTAGTCTACAGAAGTACTCATACTATAAAGACTTGTCCAAGGATGCTCATTCAAGATCATCATGTGACCTTTCAGAGCAGTGCAGGTAGAGACCTAAAAGCTTTCAGAGAAGAACATCACAAAGTTTCAGAAATAAAAGTGGCTTCAAGCCAAGGAGAGAGGAGGACTAAGAAAATCCATTGTGATAACACCAATCTTGAACTTACAGCCTTCACAACTGTGTGAAAATAAGTGTTTAAGCCCCCAAATCTGCCATTTTGTTATAGCACTCTAGCAAAGTAAATACACTGTAAGGAGACCAACGAACTACTTAGCAAGTGGACCACAATGCTCATCCTAGAAAGAGCAGCCATTTGTGTTGACAGGAATAGGCGCATGTTCTGGATTTATGGATACAGATTTGCCTTTCCTGCTTATGGTGTTTGATGTACTGGTGTCCTGTATTGCTGTGTCAGAGCAAGGGAGCCATTTTACAACAAAGGAGGTTGGGAGTGGGCACACGACTGTGGAAATTTGGTCATAACAGATAGACCAATAGAGCTGTGAGTCTGACAGTGCAGGGGAACACCCTTTGAAGGCACAACTAAAGCACTAGGTCACAGGCTAATCCCCCAGTATGCCACATACAAAACTAAGTCAATGACTTATGTGTCTGTGCTGCTGGGTTAGATAGATCACACACAGGTGGAAGCCAGTTTCCCTGCTGGGAAACTGTTCTGGTCTCTGCAACTCTGGCTTCCCCAGGTTGACAGTTTTGATTTCCAAAAGGGGGGGTGGGGATGTTTTCACCAGGGTAGACAGACAGAGTCCCACTGAAATATTACCTGGGCACTTAGGCCAGGAGACAGCATGCAGAGGAGTCAGTGTTGGCAGGAGTAATCGACCCTGATCATTGCTGTTACACAATGAAGGCAAGGAGAAATGTTTGGTACCCAAGCAGTCTGGTTGGGTGCCTCTTATCTAATATTGATGGTCTGCAGACAGATTTAGCAGCCACAGTCTGAAAAGGGCATAAAAACCAGGGGCTCAGACCTCCTGCAGAAAGGGTCTGGGTGGTGCCACTAGGTAAGCCACTGAGGACCAATAGTGGTGCTAGCTTTGGTGAGAGAAATTTAGAACAGTGGAGGAGGAAGACGATCAATGGAAGCTGTAATCTGTCTCCTGTCCCTCCTATTTGTTTTTTCTCTAGGAAAAGAGTCTCTTCCGCCCCCACCCCCCTACCTCCAACTCCCAAATCCAGGAGGAGCTGTTCCTCAAATTTATACCACGAAGTGAATTTAAGGGTACAAGAAGTGGACTAAAGTTGCTATGGTTTGAATATTTGTGTACTGCCAAAATGCATGTTGGAATCTTTACTCCCAGCATGATGGTATTAAGGTGGAGCTGTTAGGATGTGATTAGATCATGAGGGTGGGTGGAGCCCTCTTTAATGGGATTAATGTTCTTATAAACCAGATCCCACAGAGCTCCCAGGCGCCTACCACCTTGTGGATGAGAACAGAAGTTGATTGCTGACTTCCAGCCTCCAGAACTGTGAGAAATAAATCTCTGTTGATAAGTTACCCAGTCTATGGTACAGTGGAACTTAAGTTCTTGAATCTAATTCATTCCAGAAGGCTGTTGGAGAAGCAATTTGTTTGAAAACCAAATATTTTTTCCCATTAGAAATAATGTAAGTTGAGTGAATCCATTCCGGACCCCCAAATGATTCCCTTTTTTTCACCTTTCTCATGTATACAGTATATGTCTAATGTACTATTTAATCTATAAATAATTCTTTTCTTAAATTTATCAAACCACCCCCTCCTAGCCTTAAGTGAATTTTTCAGGGGCTAAGTGGGTGGGTGAGTGGGAAATGATTAACCAAAGAACTTATATGAATAACCCAGGGACACACAATATGGTAGTGAAGGCCTGGGTGGGCTGGAAGGCCTGGGTGGGCTGGGGGGGAAAAGGGGACATCTGTAATACTTTCAACAATAAGGTTAATTTAAAAAAAAAAAAGAATTTTTCATAGATCACTGCCTCTGAAATGCCATCACCAGCTAACTGCTTATCTTTTTATCCAATCAACAACAGTTTTCTACCTATTCAATTGCCTGTGGTTATTGTTTTGTGAGCACTTTCACATCCTTAGCAACATTAGCACTCTGGATAGCCTCTTTATGTTTTAAAATTGTGCTAATTGTCACCAGCAACAAAAGCATTCTCTCTTTTGTTTGTTGCCTAAGAGAGCTGCGGTATCAGCTTTAAAGGGCTGTCAGGTCGAAAATTGGAGACATTTTTCCTGTGAACACCTTTGTAGAGAACCTAATTGTTTGAGATGGCAGACATTAGAGAAATGAGTTTTGACTATATTTTGTCATGGCAGCCCAAACAGACTAAGACAGGAGAGAATATTGTAATGCACGGCTTAGATCCCCTTAGGACTGAAGGACTTCCACCTTCCTTGGAATTGCCTCTGCTGCAGAAAGCACCTTTGCCTACGATTACACACCCTTTCCAGGAAAGCCGTCACACAATGAGGGCTTACATTATATTTTTTACCAACACAGGAATATAAAGGTCAGCCGCCTAGTTTCATCTCATGGAAAAGCTGAAGGGCCATCCACCTTCAGCTCCCTATGGGATTGGATGAAGTCCTCCTTGAAAGTGCATTGCAAGGAAAAGTTAAAAAACAAAAACAACAAAGCGAAAGGAAAGTGCATTGCAAGGAAAAGTTAAAAAACAAAAACAACAAAGCGAAAGGAAAGTGCATTGCAAGCTCTTTCCCTTGCACAGGTGGTGGTCCCAGAAGCACTCCTTAATAAACCTTCTGCAGTTTGAATTTCATCTCAGAACTGTTTTTCTAGGGAGTTGAACCTGTGACATATAATCATGTCCTTGTTTGGGGAAGATACAGACTGAACTATTTCTGGGTTAAATGCCATGAAGTTTGCAAGTATTTTCAAATTGTTCTGGAAAAAGGGATGCGTTATGTGTATGCACACAGTAAACATGGCAAAATGTTAACAACTGAATGTAGGTCAAGTTTATACCTATTTATAGTTTTTCTGTAGGTTTGAAATTTTCCAAAATATAATGTTAAGGGGTTAAAGCACACACATGCAAATGAAGAGGAATCAAATGTAGAGCTATAAAAGGAAGCTCCAGAAGAACTGACTGAACAGCAAGAGAGGGGTGTATTGTGAAATTCAAGGTACCAAAGTTTCAAAATGAAGATAGTGTTCAACATTATCAAATAATTACAAAATGGTCAAGTAAGATGAAGACTAAAGTGGCCCATACATTTAGTATCCAAAAGGTCCCTGATAATCTTGGGGTCAGAAAAGTCAATGAAAAAGATGTTATAGGCCCCTGCCACCTAGCACCTTGCTCCTTCTCTACAGATGGTCATTTAGTTGAAGTACCATATTTTCAGTTATATAGTGTTTTTTTAAAAAACATTTTTATTGATTTCAGAGAGGAAAGGAGAGGGAGAGAGAGAGAAACAGCAGTGATGAGAGCAAATCATTGATTGGCTGCCTCTTGCACGCCCCTTACTGGGGATTGGACCTGAAACCCCTGCATGTGCCCTTGACTGAAATCGAACTCAGGACCCTTCAGTCCGCAGGCCCACGTTCTATCCATTTAGCCAAATCGTCTAGGGCTATTGGGTTTTTACGACGTAAAAAAAAAAAAGAAAGAAAGACTATATTATGTTGAAGGTCCTGAAATAGTCCCTACAGGGGTTATGTAAAGCCACTAGGAAATTCACAATTTATTGGGAGAGGCATATAAACTCAAATACTTAATGCACTGTGATAGGTATAAGAATAGAGAAACTGAGACAATACAGAGGAGAGAATAAGGGGAAAGAAAGAAGCTTGCAGGGAAAACACACACACACACACACATTTATTCTGCATATTTAAGAAACAGAGTAAATGAGCCATTACAACCTGGCTTAACCATGGGATTAGTTTGCTTGCAAATTAAAATTTTAAAAATGTATTCCCAATATTTAAAAATCGAGGCCCCTATCACAAAATCCCAATTTCTGGCAAATTGGAGAGATCTGGTAACACTTGGCGGAGGCTGAGAGAAGGCTCTGGTGTAGGCAAATGTGCCCCATGCCCTCTGCCAGCTCCATTGATTTAAGGTACTTGTTATTGACCTTGATTAGATTTCTGGGGCCTCATAAATTTTGCACCAAGGCCAGTGCCTAACTCGTCTCACCCTAGTCTCCACCCTACTTGTTAAGGGCTCAGAATGGCATGCTAAACAGCTTGGGCGTGATTTAATCTACACAATGGTAAAAAGCTCAGGTTGTTTTCTTTGAGCAGAGGCAAAACGGATGAGATCCGCGCTTGGGGGTGGGGGTGGGGACACTTAGGTTCCCACGCCCCAAATCCCGCCCCTTGACTCCGAACCACTCGGTTTCCCACTTCTCTCTAACAGTCGCATTTTCACTTCATTCCTGATTTTTGCCCCTAAACTACTGACGGTCCCCTCTCCCTTCCTCTCCAAGTGAGCATCCACCCCCCCACCCGGAAGGCCCGAGCACCTGCCTCTTCGGCCGCTTCTTCCACCTGCGCTCGGCAACGACGTTTCCTACAGCTTTCCAGTCTCGAGAATCGATACCGATAGCATCGCTCTGCTCCAACGGGGCGGAGCTTCCTCATCGGTGCGCTCAGCGTTCGGCTAGTGCTGCCTCGCCCCGGCGACCATCCAGCGGGAGGCGGAGCGAGTCCAAAATGGCGGCTCTCAGGCTGGCGCGCTCCGTGCTGCCGAGGCTTTGAGGTGGTCGCCAGGGGTCCGGGGGAACGTTTTCCCCGCCGCAGGGGCCCTGGAGGATGAATCGGGGGCTCTGCTAAGGTTAGGCGGTGGCGGTGGAGAGAAGTGGCAGCAAGTGCTGCGGTGGAGTCCACGGAGCGGGATGTGCGAGAGTTACTCCAGGTCGTTGTTGAGGGTCTCGGTGGCGCAGATCTGCCAGGCGCTGGGCTGGGACTCCGTGCAACTCAGCGCCTGCCACCTCCTCACGGACGTCCTGCAGCGCTACCTGCAGCAGTTGGGACGGGGCTGCCACCGGTACTCCGAGCTCTGTGAGTACCGGGCTGGGTGCGGGAGGGCTGCCTCCGGACAGTCACGAGTGACACCTCCGGTCTCCCCATCGCTCTCCCCGCATCTCCGAGGTGTTGGTGCCCTTCACCCCCTACCCGAGTTCGGGCGTCTTCTTGGTCCCTGACGCCCCTCCGCTTCCACTGTCCCTGGGAAACTCTAGTCATCCTTTCGGTGCCTCGTCCTCGCCCGCTAACTTCCCGCCTCCAGCCGGGAGCCCCGGGTCGGCTCCCAGCTCCACACCCTCCCGCTCGCCTCTGCTCTGCACGGCGCGTCGGTCTCGCCCGCGGTCTCCTGTCTGGCCGCGCGTAGAGCCGCCTCGTGAGCGTCCGAGAGCCCCTTTCCCCTCGGGTCCTCCCGCTGCCTCGCCGGCAAACTACTCCAACTAGTTGTCACAGGCGCTCCGTCTGCCGGCCGCTCCGAACGAGGCTGGCCCTGCCGCAGCTCCCGGCGCGGGCGCGTTGACAGCTCCTCTCGCTCCCTGAGGGGCTCTGCCTCGCCCGCCGTGTCTGCTCGGTTCACCGGCAGCGTCTTCGCCGACTCGTTCCCGAGGCCAGCGGGGTCAGGGTCACTCGGGCGAACTTTCCCTGGAATGAACACGCGCCCCCTGACTTCCTCCTGCATCTGTTCTGCCCGTGGCTCTCCAGGGGTGGTCGGGGGAGTAGAGACAAGTTTCCAAGGTTCCTCGGGTCCCCCGAGACACAGGGCGTTTGGCGTTTTAAGGGAATGCCGGAAAGTGTCTTTAGCTGGAGGTATTCACCGTTTGGGGGACATTTCATAGAAGCTGCCCCTCGTCATCTCCTTGATGCGATGGTTTTGTTTGGAGAGGGAGCGAGCCCTGATGTAAATTTCAGGCCCTAGCTTTTTAAGGCAGTAAACTGGAGAACTGGGTGAAGCGTTTCGCAGGAAAAGTGTGTTTTGTTTAAAGTGACTCCTAGGCTGAGACATTGAGACCCGTGGACACACTTTACTTCTTAGGCCCGATTTCCATTCCGGCTCCCGTAGTGCTGCCAAAATAATGTATCCACAACACACATCTGGTCGTGTCATTCTTAAAAGTGTTTTAGTTGTTTACAGGCTGAAAACATAAGCTCTTCAACAATGCGCAGTGCCTTCTGTGAGCATTTGTCTTACCTCCTGCTACCCTGCCATCCTGTTTGCAGTCCTGCTGAGCTACCTTACCTGCCTCTTCTGAAACATTGTTATCTATCCATTCCTATGGGCATGCTGTTTCCTAGAGTGTCCTTCACCCCCGGCCCACCAGTAGCCCTACTTGTATTTTGAGATTCACTTATCACACCTGCTTTAGGAAACTCATGTTATCTTCTCTCCTGAGTCTGTGTGCATGTTTCTGTTATGTTATGTAGCACCTTGGTTTGTAAGCATGTGTGTTTCTCTCTCACCTTGTCCTGTCTCCTCTCCAGCAAACACATTTATAATGTTTGTATTCTGTAACCTCGCATGCTAGGCCCCCCAGGAGCTATTTGTTGAATAAATGAATGCACTGATAACCCACTACCACAATAGCTATGTAATCACTGCACTTTTTTGAGTTTTAAAAGTGTGTATTTTTTTGAATGTTTGATTTCACTGATACTTCTGATCTAAATTTGAAACTGCCCATAGCTCTCATTCATTGATACCTTGAAAGTACACCACCAGCACGCTTCTTGGCTTTTGCTTCTTTTCCTCCCCTTCGTCCCTCCCACCATTTCATGATCCGTGAGAATATTGTTATGGTTATGCATAGTCCAGATTATGTTTCTGCTACCAGTTTCCCTAAATAAAGACAGATGTACTATACCTTTAGGTTATCAGACTATCCCCTGAGTACATAGCTACTTTTGCTGCCTTATACAACTGAAACAGAATATGTGCTGGCACTCCAAGTAACCAGGTATTCCAAAGTCACTAAGTGATTATTGTTATGAATTAATGTGAACCCCTTCCCTAATTACTCAATTTCTGTAGTTTATTTTCTTGCTTTCAGTGGGAATGCAATTATCAGGTTCATTAGTCTCTATTGTGGTTTGGTGACATTTTAAAAAATGCCAATTTTTGGTATACTGAGTCATTACAGACTTTTTTTTTTAGATTCTCTTTTTCTTTACTATCCTTACTTTAACCTTGAATTCTGTAACCTCAAATTACTAATATACAATCTTATATTCGATTCCTTTAAATCCTTTTTGTCTTTTTGACGAACATTTACTGAGCACCACTTATGAACTAACCACTATGCTAGGTTTTGGAGACATGAAATTACTTAGGCACAATCCCTGCCCATAGGTTTGTACATGGCTGTCAAAATGTCAACAACAACAAACTGATGGTATTTATTCCTTTTTAAAAAAATCCTCTCAAGTTAAAGCAAGCATCAGAAGTTACTGTTAATTCAACAAATAATGCATTTTTATATTTCCCTAAGGCAATGATTTGTCAGAGCATAAATGGGCTATATGTGTTGTATTATGTGTAAAATATGTATGAGCTGAAATCAGGTGCTAAATATTTCAGAATGACTCTTAGCACTAGTACTATAATTTTTTTAAATAATTTTTAAAAATATATTTTTATTGACTTCAGAGAGGAAGGGAGAGGAAGAGTGAGATAGAAACATCAGTGATGAGAAGGAATCATTGATTGGCTGCCTCCCGCACATTGGACAGAGCCCGCAACCCAGGCATGTGCTCTTGACCGGAATCGAACCTGGGGCCCTACGGTCCGCAGGCCGATGCTCTATCCGCTGAGCCAAACCAGGCAGGGCAGTACTATAATTTTTTGTTTGTTAATCCTTACCTGAGGATATTTTTTCCTTTGCTTTTCGGAGAGAAGGAAGGGGAGAGAGAGACACACATACACATCTACTGGTTGCCTCCTGCATTCACCCTGACTAGGGCCGGGGAACAAACCCAAAACCCAGGTACATGTCCTTGACTGGGAAGCGAACCCTCCACCGTCTGGTGCGTGGGCCGACGACACTCTATAACTGCTGAGCAATACCAGCTAGGGCACTAATCTACACTAATAAAAGAGAAACATGGTAATTGGCGTACGACTGCTACCCTTCCCATTGGCTAATCAGGGCGATATGCAAATTAACTGCCAGCCAAGATGGCGGCCGGCATCCAGGCAGCTTGAAATTAACATGAGGCTTGTTTGCTTCAGTGACGGAGGACTCCAACGTTCCCTGCCTGCCGCTGCAGGCCTCTGAGCTGGCAGTTTGAAACATAGTTACAAAAATAGAAGCTAAACAAAACCCCAGAAACCAGCTTTCAGCTAGCCGGGATTTCAGACCTGGAGTTGATACAGAGTTTCGATTGTAGAACCTGAACAAACAAGATACCTGCTTTCAGGAGCGGAGGCCTAAGAGCTGGAGCCTCAGAGCTAAAGCTGGCTCAGAATAACAAAAAAAAAAAAGAAAAAAAGGAGCAGTTGGGAGCTTCAGTCTCAGCCTGAAAAAACCCCCCGCCCCTCACCCAGACTGGCCAGGCACCCCAGTGGGGACCCCCACCCTGAAGGGTGTGTGACCAGCTGCAAACAGCCATCATCCCCTCATCCAGGCTGGCCAGGCACCCCAGTGGGGACCCCCACCCTGATCCGGGACACCCTTCAGGGCAAACCAGCCAGCCCCCAGCCATGCACCAGGCCTCTATCCTATATAATAAAAGGGTAATATGCCTCCCAGCACCGGGATCAGCGTAGCTGAGAGGCCTCCCGGCACCGGGATCAGTGTGACAGGGGGCAGCGCCCAAACCCCCTGATCACCCTGCGGCTCTGTGTGTGACAGGGTGCGGCGCCCCAACCCCCTCAACCCCACGGGCCCTGCTCTGTGTGTGATGGGGTAGAGCCATAACCTCCCCATCGGCCCTGCCCTGAGTGTGACAGTGGCGGCGCCCCAACCCCCTGATCGGCCCTGCTCTGTGGGTGATAGAGGGCTGCGCCCCAACCCCCTGGTCCGCCCTGCTCTGTGTGTGACAGGGGGCGGTGCGCCAACTCCCCTATCGGCCCTACTCTGTGAGTGACAGTGGGGAGCTCCCCAACCCTCTGATGGGCCCTGCTCTGTGCGTGACAGGGGGGAGCTCCCCAACCGCCTGATTGACCCTGCTCTGTGCGTGACAGGGGGGAGCTCCCCAATCCCCTGATCGGCCCTGCTCTGTGCGTGACAGGGGGTGGCACCACAACCTCCCCATCGACCCTGCCTTGAATGTGACAGGGGGCGGTGCCCTAACCCCCCCATCAGCCCTACCCTGAGCATGACTGAGGGAGGCATCGCAACCTCCCAATCCGCCCTGCTCTGTGCATGACAGGGGGCGGCGCCCCAACTCCCCAATCGGCCCTGCTCTGAGCCCAACCAGGGGCTGCACCTAGGGATTGGGCCTGCCCCCTGCCACCCAGGAGCAGGCCTAAGCCAACAGGGTGTTATCTCCCGAGGGGTCCCAGACTGCGAGAGGGCACAGGCCGGGCTGATGGACTCCCCTCCCCCCCGAGTGCACAAATTTTTGTGCACCGGGCCTCTAGTACTATAATGTTTGCATGCTGTAGGCAGAAATGCAAAAGGAATAAGGTAAAGGAGAGGTGGTTGTGGGCTGTGGATTCTGGGGCAGGACTACTTCACAGAAAAGATGTCATTTGAGTTGAACTATGAAGTATGGTTGTCTGTAGGAGAACATGCCAGATTAGAGAAAAGTATAAACTAAGATACCCAAGTGGAATTAAATATGATAAAAGTACTAGTGAGGTGGCCTGCTTGACATATTTAGCCAGTTGAAGCATTTTAGAAAATGCTAAACAGAATGAAATCAGATTAGGGAGGAACTTAAAAGACAAAGAAATTAAAGTGTGGTAGAAATCACTGCATACTCCTAAGGAGGGGAACTGCGTTGAAAGTGATATTTTAAGAATATTGTGCTGTCGGTCAAGTGCAAGAAATACTCAAGTTGGGAGAACTTGAAACTATACTGAGATAGTGATTTTAGGAATAGAAGAAATTCTGAAATCCAGGGCCCAAAGGAAGTTTCACCTCCTTAAACTGTTAACAGTTGGATGTCCTTCTAGAGTTTTCCTCATGTGTGTGGGCAAGCATGTATCTAATTTTTACAAACTTTAATTATTCTTTTTCATTTTATAGCATGATTTAATTTTGGACATAGAAGTTTGAAGTAATCATAGGTGATTTCAGTAAGAAAACAAAATTCTTAGGGTATTGGAACTTAGGAATTGAAATTTTCATAGAAGCTTTGAAAGATGTAGAGAGACCTTATGTTCTGCTAAGGGTAGGCATAGAAGAAACTCTTTTTCTAAAGAGTAGCTCACTATATCTAACTTGTATTCTTTTCATCTGTATCTCTTATACATGGTGTCTTTTAATTACATGAAAAATTTTATATATAAATTACCTTTATGATCTAAGTTCTTTCTCTAAATTTCCTTGGATTTAAAGAATTGATTCAGCAAGCAATGATGCATGAATAAGTAGAGCAAAAAATCAATATCTCTCTCCCTCTTTTTCTCCCCCTCTTCTCCAAAATAAATAAATAAAAATAAATAAAAAATTGATTCAGCAGTATAATTCATTCAACAAGTATTTATTTTTTAATATATTTGTTATTGTTGATAGTATTATAGATATCTCCCATTTCCTCCCTTCTTTCCCCCAAGTTCTTTGGTTTATCTCTTCTTGTCCCCCCAACCCCACATCGAGGTATGTCAGTCTGTTCCATGCCTCCATGCTTAGGATTTCATTTTGTTGGTCAATTCATTTTGATCATTAGATTCCACAAATAAGTGAGATCATGTGATATTTGTCTTTCTCAGTTTGGCTTATTTCACTTAGCAAAATATTTTCCAGATCCATCCATGCTGTCCCAAAGGGTAAGAGATCACTCTTTTTTATAGCTGCATAGTATTTTATAGCGTAAATGTCCCACAGCTTTTTTCCACAAGTATTTATTGAGTGCCAACTATGTCATAGTCATTGTCTTAGGGATGACTAAGATGCATCCCTAAGAGATGCATCATTGAATAATAGAGAAAATGTAAGGGCCATTTACTTAAGCCAGCACAGCATTCTAGCTATCTAATAAAAACTAATAATATTTATTGGGCATTTAATTTGTGTCAGCCACTGTTCCCTAAACTTTGTTCCATACCAACTGATTGTTAGTATGAATTGTCTGTGGTATTCTGGTTGGTTGTCAGGTCATATTTAAAATTGATTTTAAAAATCAGCTTTCTAGCCCTGGCTGGTGTGGCTCAGTAGCTTGGGCATCATCCTGTGAACCAAAGGGTTGCTGGTTTGATTCTCAGTTGGGGCCTATGCCCAGGTTGCAGGCTCAATCCCCAGTCAGGGGCATGCAGGAGGCAGCTGTTTTGATGTCCCACTTTCACATCGATGTATCTTTCTCCCTCTCCCTTCTTCCCTTACTCTAAAAAAATCAATAAAGATATTATTTTAAAAGAGAATCAGTTTTCTAACATATATTTTAATATGTTTTTATTGATTTCAGAGAGCAGAAGGGAAAGGAAGAGAGAGATAGAAATAATCAATGATGTGAGAGAATCTTCGACTGGCTACTTCTTGCATGCCCCCCACTGGGGATTGAGCCCACAACCTGGGCATGTGCCCTGACGGGGAATTGAACCTGACCTCCTGGTTCATAGGTTGACGCTCAACCACTGAGCCACACCAGTCACGCAACTCTCTAATATTTAAATACTATGTTCTATTTAAAATTTATTCCATTCTTTCTGACAGCTAGGTCTTGAATATGCAACGTACTTGATTCTGATACATATTTAGCTAATATTTTTGTCTTAATATGTTTTAAATATTCATGGGATTTTCTTAAAATAATTTGCTTTGCTTTTGACTTTGTTTCAGATGGCCGAACAGACCCAATTTTGGATGATGTTGGTGAAGCTTTCCAACTTATGGGGGTTAGTCTTAATGAACTAGAAGACTATATTCACAATATTGAACCCGTTACTTTCCCACATCAAATTCCTTCGTTTCCTGTTAGTAAGAACAATGTACTCCAGTTTCCTCAACCTGGAAGTAAAGATGCAGAGGAAAGAAAAGAATACATTCCTGATTACATGCCACCCATTGTGTCTTCTCAAGAAGGTTTGTGATATTTTTGTTTGTTTCTAACTCATATATTCAGGTAACTATTTTAATGGGTTTTTAATCATCTTAGTTTTCTTAACTGAATTATATAGAATGCCATACTAATATGTAAATTCTAGGAGTGCAATAAAAATATTTTAATACTAGAGGCCTGGTCCACAGGTATGGTCCCTAGGCCTGGCTGGTGATCGAAACTCAAGCATCTTGCATGGAAGGGCAGGTGCCAGTTGACTTCTGGGCCCTGGGTAGCACCTGGGTCCCGGTGCCTGAGTCCCCACGTGGAGATGCAGTGAGTGCGGCCGGACGCCTCACTGGTCCGCCCAGCGGCACCATATGGAAGCCAGGCGGGCAACACGCTGTCTTCCGGCCAGCCTTGCAGACTAGTTCCTGTGCGAACCCGCAGGGAGCCCAACCAGCCCCCGTGGTCCCGGCAGCTGCGCCCGGCTCACCTGGAAGAGGCTGCAAGGGTGTGGGCTGGGCTCCTTGCAGGCACCCAGCACCTGAGCGCCTGCTACCAGCGCTGCGTTGCCAACTCCCACCATGTTCTGCACTGCTTCTTGGTGGTCAGCACACATAATAGCAAGCGGTCGAATGACTGCCCGAGTGGCCAATTTGCATTAGGCTTTTATTCTATAGGATTATTTACAAATTATCCTAACCTTTAAGTTAACAAACTTGCAGCTGGCATCAACAAGTAGAGATGTGGCATAATCAAGGTTATGTCTGATGAGCCATTGATTTCCTTTGTGAATTTTATGAAGGGCGAACAGAACATGACCACAAAAAAGCCTTATTTGAGAACTACAGGCCTGGTACACGAATTCATGCATGGGTGGGATGCCTTGGTCTGGCTGGTGATTGGGGCCTACTGGGGACATCGGGCCCAGTCCCGATCAGGGCCGATGGGGGCTGGCTGGTCCGGGGGGAGGGACTGCGGGAGGTTGGCCAGCTGGCCCTGGGGTTGATGCGGGCTGGCCAGCTGTGGGGAGGGACTATGGGAGGTTGGCTATGGGAGCACTGACCACCAGGGGACAGCATTGAGCATCTGCCCCCTGGTGGTCACTACGCGTCATAGATACCAGCTGGTCGTCCGGTCATCTGGTCGCCTGGTCATAATGGTCGCTTAGGCTTTTATATGTATACTAGAGGCCTGGCCTGTGCCCTCTTGCAATCTGGGACCCCTCGGGGGATGACCACCTGCTGGCTTAGGCCCGCTCCCCGGGGGGATCAGGCCTAAGCTGGCAGTCAGACATCCCTCTGGCAGCCTGGAAGCCCTCGGGGGATGTCCACTTGCCAGCGGGGAGCAGACCTAAGCTGCAGTCAGACATCCTTAGTGCTGCTGAGGAGGCAGGAGAGGCTCCCACCACCACCGTTGTACTGGCAGCCGTCAGCCTGGCTTGTGACTGAGCAGAGCTCCCCCTGTGGGAGCGCACTGACCACCAGGGGGCAGCTCCTGCATTGAGCGTCTGCCCCCTGGTGGTCATTGTGTGTCATAGTGACCAGTCATTCCCAGTCTTTCTGCTGTTAGGGCCAATTTGCATATTACCCTTTTATTATGTAGAATAGAAGTCTGGTACATGGGTGGGGGCCGGCTGGTTTGCCCTGAAGGGTGTCCCGGATCAGGGTGGGGGTCCTTCTGGGGTGCCTGGCCAGCCTGGGTGAGGGGCTGATGGGCGTTTGCAGGCTGTTTACACCTCCTTCAGGGTGGGGGTCCCCACTGGGGTGTCTGGCCAGCCTGGGTGAGGGGCTGATGGGCGTTTGCAGCTGGTCACACCCCCTTCAGGGTGGGGGTCCCCACTGGGCTGCCTGGCCAGCCTGGGTGAGGGGCTGATGGTTGTTTGCAGGCTGGTTAAGCCCCCCCCCCCCCCCCAGTGGGGACCCTCACCCCATGGAAGTTTGGCCAGCCTGGGTGAGGGGCTGATGGCTGTTTTCAGGCTGGCCACACCCCGTTTAGGGTGGGGGGTCCCCACTGGGGTGCCTGGCCAGTCTGGATGAGGGCCATTTTCAGGCTGGCCAAGCCCCTCGGCGACGGAAGCTCCCAGCCTCTCCTTTTTTTCTTTTTCTTTTTTTATTCTGGGATTTATTTACCTTCTATAATTGAAACTTTGTAGCCTTGAGAGGAGCTCAGAGCGGGCCAGGGTGGGCAGGAGGGAAGCTTGGCTTCCTCCATCGCCAGGGGCAATGCAAGCCTCCTGCTCGCTCCAGCTCCGTGGCCACGGCCAGCTGAAAGCAGGTATTTGGGGTTTATTTATCTTCTATAATTGAAACTTTGTTGCTTTGAGTGGAGCTCAGAGCCAGCTGCGGCAGGCAGGAAGCTTGGAGTCCTCCATCATTGGGGCAACCAAGCCTCCTGCTCGCTCCAGCTCCGTGGCTGCCAGCCGCCATCTTGGTTGGGTTATTTTGCATATAGTCTCTCTGATTTCCTTGTGGGCGTGGCTTAAGGCATAGCGAAGGTATGGCCAATTTGCATGTTTGTCTTTTATTAGTGTGGATAGATGGGATATTTAAGTAAATAGCCTTTGAAGCATAAAAATTGGGATAGCTCTTTTCCTCTTGCTTATTAGTAATGTGAGTTGTATGTTTCTGGAACATTCACTAATATTTTACAGATTTACATCCATTTTTTAATGATAAGTAGACATGTTTGGTTGTATAGAATTTTTTATTATAAAATAATTGCTAATCAGGCATAGTAATTACATATTCCCCTCAGCCAGCTTCTCTGTAACTGCCTAAAATTCTGATTTCTTCCCCACCTTTGATTTTATTTATATTTGCAGCCTTTATTGTCCTTGAGGAAATCTTACTCTTTATAATCCCCTATGTAAAGTCATTCTTTTTAAACCATTATTCCCTAATGTCATAGTTTTTTATCTTGGAGACTTATATTTGTTAGGACTTCTCTAAGCATATATTTACTTACTTTATATTTTTTAATTTTTTAAAAATATTTTTTATTGATTTTTTACAGAGAGGAAGGGAGAGAGATAGAGAATTAGAAACATCGATGAAAGAGAAACATTGATCAGCTGCCTCCTGCACACACCCCACTGGGGATGTTCCCGCAACCAAGGTACATGCCCTTGACTGGAATCGAACCTGGGACCTTTCAGTCTGCAGGCCGATGCTCTATCCACTGAGCCAAACCAGTTAGGGCAATTTTTTTTAATCTTTTCAAAAAAATATATTTTTATTTATTTCAGAGAGGAAGGTAGAAGGAGAGAGAGATAGAAACATGAATGATGAGAGAGACTCACTGATCAGTTGCCTCCTGCACGCCCCCTATTGGGGATCAAGCCCACAACCTGGGCATGTACCTTTGACTGGAATTGAACCAGGGACCCTTTAGTCTGCAGGCCGACACTCTGTCCACTGAGCCAAATCAGCTAGGGCAATATACTTACTTTAAAAACATAACAAATGCATTTCAATATCAACATTATAAAAGGAGGGTTTCTTGGTCAGAGGCCTGATTGAAGAGAACTGACATTTTCTCTTACGGACAAGTCATGAATGTCAAGTATACCTGGAATTCCTTCTTTACTGTTGTCATTAAATGTAATTTATTAAGCTTCCTAGGCATTTTTATGAGGGTCATATTAAATATTAATATATGATATTTCCTCTTGTACTTTAAAAATAATCTTTGCGTGGCTCTGGAATTTTTAGGTGAAAGGCACTTAGAAATACACAAAATTCGGATTTGTGCTTAGAAAACTTAAGGCATTGTGTAGGAGGAAATTAAAGGAAAGACACTAATATGTGAATAATTGGCCACATCAGTGTTTCTCAGAATGATAGGTGATTATGAGTTTTCTATCAGTGAATTAGACAGTGGTAAAAGTTTAATGACCACACTTATGCACGTTATCAAATGGCATGTAATTGAGCTGGAACTACTACTTTCATTTTAAAAATTTCAGCCCAGACCAGCCAGTGTAGCTCAGTCAACTTATGAACCAGGAGGTCATGGTTGGATTCCCGTCAGGGGACTTGCCTGGGTTGTGGGCTCAATCCCCAATAGGGGGCGTGTAGGAGGCAGCTAATCAATGATTCTCATCGTTGATATTTCTATTTCTTCCTCCCTCTCCCTTCCTCTCTGAAATAAAAAAAAGAGAGAGAGAAAGAAAAGAAATTCATTAAAAATTTTTTTTTCCAGCCCATTTTCTCTCTGCCTTTTAGAGATTTCTAAATCTAACTTTTGTAATTTGCATAACTTTCTGTCTCGTATTATACCTCCTATTTAATAGTTAAACTGGCTCTCTTTTTTTGTGGCCTTTTTAATAATTTGGACTCAGATGGACATTTAATCTAAATCCTTGATTTGTGCATAGGCTTATGTTTGGTTCATACATAACCTTCATATATTTATTTAGAGAGTTATTTTATAAATAACCTCTAATAAGCTCATACTCAAAACCAAGGCTAGAACTTTGATAATAATCTCCACTTATCCATTTGGTTCTTTTGTTTTATTTTTATAGCATGCAAATAATACACAATAAAATTCTCTCAAAGTGATATAGTTATCATGTTTAAATACTGCCAAGGAAGTGTAACTAAGATATCAGATTTATATTGGGAAGTGAAAGAGTATGAAAAACAGGTTAGTGATTTTAGGTACTGACTTCTGTCTGAAATTACCTCAGTAAAATTTTGAGTTTCTCTTCTAGAATATTTGAAGCAAAGAATCTTAATTCTTTTGACTTTTTATGCAATCTATTATAATAAAAACATAATATGCTAATTAGACCAGACGTCCTTCTGGATGACCTTCTGGACGAAGCCAGGGCTGCGAGGGAAGCCACACAAGTCAACTTAATAAGTCATTACAATCTGAAATTTCTTTTTTCTTGGGTACAGAATGTTAGAAAGTTCCTAGTCTTCTATTAATGGTGTGAAGTGTGACAGACATAAACAACTTCGATAATAAGACCTGCTTTCCAGAGTAATTTTCTTTTTATTTCCTCAAGAGCCACATGTGAGAGGCCTGACTT